GACAATTATTTGAAAAGATAAAAATAGAATGTAAGATTCCGTGTCTAGTCTACTATCCGATTACCTCCGACGGGTTACACGCGTTGTATAGGAGCGCAATTTTTGTTTATCTGGATGAACTACGGGCGACTGAGTGAATGTATTCTCAAGTTATGGAACTTCGACCAAGACGGACTAAGTTGGTGCCTAAGAAATGCAGTATTATAAAAAAAATGCTTCTTTATTTGCGTAGCCTTACCGGGTCGCAGAATCACGTAATTGCTAAATTAGTTTATTAACAAAAACAACAAGTTACCGAGCCAAGGAACTCACAGCATTTTTGCGCCAACTACATGTTCACTTTGCTCTGATCCAGCAGCTCTACGTGTGTATACATATATATACGCTAGCAGGAATGGTCGCGAGCGATCTATAATTTTTTCTTGAATAAGTCTTTTGCCCCTCGTGTAGGGCTCGCTGCAGGCGTGCTAGGCAAAATTCAGTCTTGTTAAGCGAACAGACATAGCCCATTATATACTGTAGAAGCGCGTTTGCTATGGCTCTATGTCACGGTTGACTGCCATACAGACTCGATTGATGAACGTTATGTAAGAATTCTGCATAAACAGTCGATCGCTATAACTCAAGAGGGCTGCCGCAAAGCATTGATTTGGACATTTTACTAAACCCACATGTTTACTTACCTTTCATTCCATATTATGATACTTTGGTTAATCATTGTATTGAAAATTAACATTTCTGTCATACCTTTATATGAGAGGCAATATCTCATAGCTAGTATTCTGAGAAGCTGGTCACAGATTGCTCGAGTAGAACTAGATTATTAACTTGAAAAAAGTATTAATTGAGGTTTTATTTTTACATAAATATTTGCACATAGGGACGTAAATGAATGTCGATTGAAATTTCGACCCTGACGTTTCTGCTGGTTGACACAAATAGGTAACACTTGATTCAATAGCTTTTCTGTAACAGCGTAATACTCTTTTTATTTGTAGCTTAACATGGAACGTATCAGGGGCCAATCAATATCTTCGCTAAAATACAGTGCAACCGTTACAGCAGCAGAACGAAAGCTACAACGGTCTTGTTCAAATTCACTAATAAATGCTAAACAGAAAAACTCGAAAGGAGCTGGAACTGAACTATAGCAGAAAACTATATTAGCAGACATAATGTAGATGTCAGCCCAGAGAAATAGTGTCCTAAATGCAAACGGGCGATGATATACATTTTCACTGTCTAATTGAAAATAGTTATTTGTACAGGTTTCATTGAAAGGTAAGCTCAGTAATGCTAGCTTTGATAATATGTAGTCGACAGCTCCTACCTGTTGGTAGATACTATGGCAGAGCCCGTGTACTGCGAGGAGACCCGAGTGCGGCCCGTTGATACGTAGCTCGTACAATACAACAGCTGAGCAAACCACTTATTAATTAAATGGGTTTCACTAAAACAGCCCCTGAAAGCTGTACGTCCGCCCACTTCGATAATGACCGACTGCCACTACCAAATGCTATTCACACTCTGATTAGATCGCACAGATGAATGAAGACACTTTGGTAGATATTTAAAGACCTCTAACAGATCAAGATTGTGCTTTACAATGAGAGTTTTTGATAGCAAGCATCTCCTTTTTGAACAGGATTGTCAAAAGCAAACCTGACGAAAGGATTAATAAACCCAAACAGAAGCATCTAGCGTATTAATAAGGAGGGGCGCTCTCACTGTGTTCGTGTTGCCTCCCTGCAGTAACCGCGACCTGCACGAGACTAAAGATGGAGAGAAGAGAATATATACATATAGGTTCTGCAAGTGAATAGTTTCTATTGCGTCGGCAAAGACACTTCTGTCACTCGCCGCTTGATGTCCACGGTCTCCTGTTTAGCTGAGCTTCCTGCAAGGGCTTTTCCTAGCTAAACTTTGATGAAAGCCAGACAAGCACCAGTCATAACTCCGGACCTTTTGATTGCCTAGTAATTCCACTGTTCGTCTCACATTAGATAGCAGCTAGCTAGAAAACGAGCAAACAGAATATTACTTGTTCGTTTTTGATAGCTATCTGCAGGCGTACTGCTAATAGGATCGTGATGGGAAAATATCCGGAAAAACGCTTAGCGAAATCAACGACTGCATTTAGGAGCAGCAGCTGTACTTCAGTGTGCTTTGTCGCTTGCTGGACAGACACTCGTCCAATGCTGTTTGTGCGCTGTGTGTGTTCCGTTGATCTACGGCGGCGGCGGCGGCGGCGGTAATGGCGGTAGCGCTTGGTATAGGTCCTATCAGTATTCGGCGGTCGGCGTAGCCGTCTGTCCAAAACAGAGAGAACGCAATGAATTATTCGTTTCACTATCGTCGTGTTGTCAGTTCACCACTCAACGCTTCAGTGGCAGTCTTTTGATTCGTTAAGCAACTACATTCACCTGACGAAACAAAAGCGTATTGTGATTCCCATTACGGCGACAGCACCAGAACAACAACGACGGTGACGACAACGACAGCAACAACAACAACAACATCCAAGACGACGACGACGACGACGGGGGGCCAGGCCACTTGCTAGCAGCTTCACTCGTTCGTTCGTTCGTTCGTACCACAGTTATACACGGTGACGGCGAGGAGGAGGTTTTTACAGCAACACAGAGGGCACATCATCCCACAGAAAGAAAGAACACGGCTCCGACTGAAAGCCTGGTCGAATCGGTGCTGTTGTCTGCGGACAGATCCGAGGAGCTTCCAGAGAAAAAGCGAAACAGTGAAATACCGTCAGGAGGAGCGATACGTAGGTCTGGAGATTTATACGAAGGTCAACAATGTGCTCCATACAGCGGCTAATGTTAGTTACTGCTATCGTCGCTAGATCGCCTCCAAGTGCCCCCATGTGTTGTGTCACCGAACCAAAATGATCAACAGCAGGAGGCAGGCAGGCAGACAGGCACGTCTAGAAGTAAAGGGCGAGAGCGCTCCGCAAATATAGCCCGCAAACAAAAGCTGATGATCGGAGGAGGTTCCTTCCGATTGAAGAACGGAAACGGGCAAAATGGAAGAGAGAAAGATGTCGGTCCCTTTGGATGCTCTTTAGCTCGGAAATGGTTAGGGCGCCATTTGGGCGGCTCAGCTGTTATTTTCCGCCTCATTTAGAAACCTGTTAATAGATTTAGTAAATAATATTATTATCATTACCCAACATAAGCTTTTAAAGTAGCTTTACGAAGCTAAACATCGGTGAATGTTATTACAATACCTACCTATTTCTTTTTCGATAGATTGTTAGAATATTGTGCTGGGCAATTTCAGGTACAAGAGCTGGAGCATTAAGGTCTATTACAGAAAGGATTAGCATAAATATCATTTTGTTTGTATCAAATAATTTTCGTTGAACTGTTTAATTTTCAACCTTAAAAAGCATGAGCGTTAGCAAAAGTAATATAAGATAGGCGACGACGACGACAACGATAATGATGATTTTCCAATGAATTTGATGATAACTGAAGAAAAATATGACGCAGGCAGGAAATGGCAAGCAGACACACCAGGCGGACTACAACCAATAGATAAGAAATCTGCAGTCGTCATTTTACGTTAAAAAAAAGCTATACCAGACTAATGAAAATTAGCGAATTCTTAATAAAGATACTGAATGAATTTAAGTGAAGGAGCAAATTCCGATTCAAACCAGTTAGGATTAGGGTCAGTTCCCAGAAGTAGAGGACGTTGCAAGGGATGGAGTGCAAAAAAGAACGTTCTCTAAAATTTTTTTTATAGACAAAACAAACAAGTTCTATAACTTTAAAAGTTTAGGGGTCGTCCTGAGGAAAACTCGCTTATGCCTTTAGTGATTGAAGAAGAAAAAAAATCACAGCAAATGTTTCACAATGGGAAAGTATCGTACGATACCTTCGATTTGTACGTTATCTTAGCGTAGAAGCAATTTTAATTTCAGATAGAAAAGAACTAAGCACTTACGATATATGCAAAAAGAAAACGAAACCTTTTTTTTTTTTTATAGAAACAAAGACTGCGAATGGTGTGCTATTGATTGACTTGACCAGTTACCGCTCTACTCATAGTGAACGGTCCATTCGGAAGCAGACGACATTAGGCAGCCTTTCAAATCGAGCGCTCCTCAAATGACAATAAGATGTTGTCGACAACAACAGCGGTGTGCTTCTTGTGCAGTAACCAGCGCCAACTGCTCGTTGTTGCAATCTTTCGAACTAATCATGCGTATGGGGCTGCCGGTGGGCAACGATGATACCGCCATTGCCACCAATACGAGAGTCTTGATCAGCTTTCAGCAGTAAGGAACAACAACAATTGTTTGCTTATAGGCAGCTTCAAAAGTAGCACCTCATCGGAGACGTAGAACAAACAACTGAGGAGATCGACGCTGTGTAACAGTAAACGTTGAATGCGGACATCAAAAGTTCAACCTTCCTTTCAAGCAAGCAACCTAAGGTTAGGCACCAGACTGTAAAAAATCTCATCTCTGTGAGTAAACAAAGAAACGTTCTGTTCGTGGAAGCATTGGGATATTAGTATTCGTTGCATCGGTGGCAGCTGCGATATTGTCTCAGAGTAAAAAGAAAACAATAGGACTAGTTAATTAGCTTTAGGGAACGGTAGATAAGCAAGTGAATATGTCAAGAGCGATCTAACGGGGTTGCCTAACGCTCAGAGGTGAATTTTATTGGGAAGTATTGTATTCGTCGACAGGCAACTGCGGTGCGGGTGAGGATTACAGGTCGAGAGAAACGAGTCAGTAGGACCATAAGGCCCGTGAGACAAACAAAGTTCCAACGGCAGCTGCAGCAGTGTAGAGTAAGTGTGTAGTTGTCACGAGCGAGAGCAATATAGCCAGGCAAATGCGATTGGTCAATTAGAGGATCGCCATTCGGTACATTATCGTCAGCTGTCTATTTACTGTCCTTAGTTTCGGGGCTCCTCCGGTCGGACGGACGGATCGACAGGCACTGCTGTTGGAAATAGCCCGAACAATTTATGTATATAACTATCTAAGTATGGATCCAATGCGATCGTAATTAGTTATGTCATAGTGCATTGCCTGTATGATTATTATACATACATATCGTTGTCAACATCATTGTTGAGAAGCGGTAGACAAAAAAGACGCTCGTTCATAGCAGGGGCATAATGTTTGACCGGATGTACTTATCTCGATCCAACTAATGGGATGCTTCTTTCCGACGTCTTCCATAGACATTTAGTAAAAACGAGGTGAATAACAGCAGGTGGCAGCAGATCTCAATAGAACCGTTGCTATTTTGATTAACCTAAACACATAACATTAGAAGGGTACGGTAAAAAACCAAAGTGGACTATCATTGGTCAGTCCATTATAAATATTACGCCAAAGCTTCAATTAATTGATAGGGATACGTTTTTCAATCTAAGAAACAGGTTAGATTGGGCGGTGAATGCACTTTGTCTTTCTCTGATAAAGAGCAATCCGACTGGTGCTGAAAACAAATTATTAAAAAAACAATAGCGGCTAATCTAGGTCGATACCTATGTACTTTTGTGTAACGGTGCAAACTGTAGCCATTTCCAAATGAACGACGGATTGTTTCATAAATTAAACGAGCTAATCTACCTGTTCGAAGGTTGCCGTTTAGTCAAACGCCGCAGATAGGAGTCGTGTTAACTAGTACATCTTTTCACAATTAACTTTGTCATCTCGGTCGCTGCTATTGGTCCTTATTATATCGGTAAGACGACAGGTACCTACTGTAGACGCAGAATTTTTTTTTATTTAAATAGAAGTTTCTAGGTTGTGAAAATTAGCAAAAATGTAGTTATACGCTAGCCACTGCTACATAGGTTACATGGCACTTTTTTTTTTTTTTATATATATTTCTAGCAAAAACTGATTGTCTGATATCTAGCGGCGATATTAAGCATATTGCAAATAACAAATGATAAAAAACAATCCTCAAAGCAGGCGGTTATTAATTAGTGCGTACAGTACACTTATGTGAGTGTGTGTGATTGTCTTTATGCGAATTTAAAGTTAATCCAATTTGTTTTTCAGCAGTGAGCGAGATCAACAAAACAGCGCGTAAATGATGGCTGGAGCGTTCGCATCTATGGGGGGGGGACAGCACTACACTGTTTGCCTCTTGAACTCTCTTCGTGTTGTCAGAATTTAACTTTAACTTATGCTGTAGCGGCTTTTAGAATATATTGAAAGTGCGAACCGTTAGAAGGAAGTAAAGGGGCGCAAAAAAGATCTAGCTTCAAAGTACATATACAAAAGACGCCAAATCATCTTTGTGTGATACCCAAACCGGTCGCATCACAGTGTAGAGCTTGCAAGATCGAGGTCTTGCTTGTGTTCTGCTCATTATCCGCATTACTAATTGGTTAAGTGTGAAATCAAACGACATAATGTTGGCCTTTCAAGAAGACTCTGAAGTTAATACCCGCAATAGCCAAGTAAGTTGATTTAATTTATCGCAACCTGGCCGTTAAACGTCATCCAGTGCTCTGAATACCATTATATGAGCTACATATTACTAAAACATGGCGTGCCGCAACACTAGAAGTGACATGTTTAGCCCCTTCATAGATCACTTTTGATTGATACGCACGATTACTCATCTAACTACAGTCAACCGTTATATGATCATACCGTGTTAGCAACTTATGTTACCTAGGCAAACTTTGATATTAATGTAAAAAAAATAATCTGCCAAAAGCAACGGGATTCTCAGTGCGTGTTGAAACAAAAATAAATATTAATATATTTTACCAACTCTCATTATGATGACCGCCCATCCAACGGATAATGGCTGTTTTGCGTAACAACAAGACTTAAAAAATCTCTACATATATGCTTGTCGCAACATTCATTATTTGCAAAAGTACTATTATACTCTATTGCCAGTGATGCCAGAGATCCAGCCGTAAAACCGCTTTCCACATAACAGCAATTGAGTATCGGTTCTATTCATCAAGGAACCTTATAACCTGACCTCCCAAAAGTGCCTGTGGGGGTAGGACTGAAAGAAAAAGAGAGAGCTTGTTCCGTGACAATGACTGTAATGAGACAGTGGAAGCTGTGTCATTGCAATTATATCTTGCCAGCAAACTTCTTATTTGAGTTCTAGCTTGCAGAGTTTTGCTTAGTACAAGTACCACCAACGGTTATATGTAGATAATTCCTACATTTCAACGTTGGGTCGTTTTTGGGCAGTTATAGGGTGCACTCATCACGAAGTGAATGCTTACTGTTTATCGCCTGTTTTTATATCTGGCCGTAGGTTTTATAGTGACATCAGAGGTAAGCTCTGTGCTTCACAGATTACTTGAAAACACATGTCTAAAACTAAGCAAAAAGATCGGGACCAACATATAGTATCAGAGAATAACGTTTGACGCACTAGTACTGTTTTTATGCTGTACTATACCTTACCATCATCATTCAAATATGTGTAATGAGTACTCAGAAAACATATTATGATTGGAAAAATTCGGCGTCAAACTTTTAATTATTCTGCATTCTGGAAAAGCTACAGGTTACTATTGTGACAGTATTTTTATTTATGAATTTTATTTTTAATTTTCTATTTATGAATTTATGAAGCACAATTAAGCATTGTGTGGGGCAGCGGTGTGATTTAAGTAGCTAATTACCGTAAAGTAAAAATCCTGCAGTTACGTTAGTTTAGATTTCAACGTTGGTAAAAATTGCTACCACAAGTTAATAACCAGGAGAGTAAGGAAAATCAGGAAAAAAAAGTACAGATCATGAGGAGCTATTATTGAGGTTGACAACTGTTTGTATGCTTGCATGCCATTTCACAGGGATGCGAAAGAAAACCCAGATTAGCCTGACAAAACCCATTTCACTTGCCCTTAGTAAAGGCAGGATCTCGAGGTGACTCTGAAGACATGTTAACAAACGAGAAATGGCTAAAAATATCAAAAAATAATGATTGGGTCATAACATTTTTATACACTTAATATATTGTAATCCGACCTGATAATTCTAGGATTCAGCCCCGGTCCAAGTTGAGTCAGACAATGAGCTCAACGTTGATATCTCAGATGCCCTCTCCGAGAGAGACAAGGTAAGAATAAGCAACAACGAAGTACACATCGGCAACCAAACTGGTAATCTTCAGTAGTAGCCTAATATTTACATATAATAATTAATAGTAGATTGACAGCGTTACTCAGATTTCGCTTCGGCTCCATTCATCTAATAATTTAAGACATGGCAGAGGAATTATCATCAATACACCAAGTAGGATTGACAAGCAGCTGAAGGTTGGCGTTATATAGAATACTTGAGAAGCGTTAGTATGCATAACTTATTATTAATCTAACTAAGTTACGCATACTAAAGGTTACGCAGCCTTTAATTATAGTGAACACATTAGCAAAAAATGCGCGCAATTTCAATCACGTTACTTATTGTTTTAGAGAGTAAGGAAAGGATCTATTTAAATATATATATTTAAACTTTCCCAATCATGAAAACTTTCGAAGGTCACGGGAGTCGTGCAGTTCGTTAATCGACGTTCTAAAAATATAAGAGCTTGCACTCATACAGTTTTTTGCCTCGGTGGTTGGAAATTCAATCGTTGTTACAAATCATAAATCTGGTGAATATATTTAAAACAACTCACTACTACGCGTGATTATAAGTATTACATAGCTGTTATACGGTGTTAATAAAATTTTGTCCATTTTAGTCATCATAGTGTACGCGACAATGGCTGATTACAGTTGAAATGGAAAGGCTTCCGACGATACTATGACAGATAATCTATTTGTATTGTTCTCTACTTAACGGCCTGCTCAGCAACAGGTTTTGTCATATCGGTTAGCCCTTACCTTGGTTTTCAGCGTTTTTAATAACAGTTCCATATAAACAGCTTTTGGATTTAATACAAACCTGGTTTATCTTGAATGTTTTTAAAATTAGAGGAGTAAGTGCGTAAAATGTTTTATTATTATGTATATAAATATTATAAGTATAATACTACAAAATAGGATATGCGATTTCAGTCGAACAGGCAAGCAGCAATAGGCTCTCAACATCTATACAAAAGCCATTAAGGTTCGGTTTTAACTTTATAGTTTTGGAGGCTGAATATTTTTAGAACTATATGAGACTGTACGAACTACCAGGGCATGAAGTAAAGAATTTCTAAACATGTATGATATTTTAATATTCGATGATCTGAGATGTCTTTTCAAAGTAGGCTCTCTAACTGGGATGATGCGTTTATTTGGAAGTCTAATGATGCAGCGGAAATGTAGTAACTCGTTTTAGCTATGCGAGGTTCATCATCAACAGGCAAAACCTTTATCATGATTATAAATAAATAAATAACTTTTTTCGTTTATTTAAATTGGTCCGATCTATTGTTTAATTTAATAATCGCATTCCAGGTAAAATTTACTGTCCACACAAGAACTACTCTGGAAGAGATGGGCGGCGCGGGTTCCGAATATTCTGTTGTCCGGGAACACGAGGAATTTTTGTGGCTGCATACAGCTATTGAGGAACACCCTGCCTATGCAGGATACATTGTAAGTCTTTCTAACGATACAAAAGGCACTAGTTAGTTAATAACATTGATGGGTTAATTTATATATAACCTTACTGTATGGCTACGTTGTTTCAAATATACTGTCTTAAGAGTATATGTATATACACAATACAGTTTATGTAAAAATGCATAACAATCAAATATATCGATATACTGTATCACAACAGCCAATAATTCCAATATGATAATAATTTATTCATATGTCTCCTGAATTGCAACACTTATATACATGAAAATTTAGAAGTTTTTTAGCTTCTATATTTTAATGTATGTAATTACAGTTGCACTACAATTGTTCTACACATAATTTTTTAACAACGTAGGTTTTATTTTATAATTGAAAAATACAAGTTAAAAGAGCAAGACTTAATTCACTTACAGATTCCCCCGCCACCCCCGCGGCCAGATTTTGATGCATCTCGGGAAAAGCTGCAAAAGCTAGGTGAAGGCGAGGGGACCATGACCAAGGTAAGTTTAGTATTAAACTTACCTAAGTAAAATAAGATAAGTAAAATTAGACTCAGCAAAGTTTATGCGTAGAGTTAACATCTGATGGTTTGTTTAATATATATTAAATATTAAAACGTTTTATGTATTAAAAAAAAAAGTGAAATAGATTAATTTTCAGTGATCCGTGAAAGTAATTTATGAAGTGACTAAGCTATGAAGACGATAGAAGTTGCTCACAGAAGAGACATCGTCGTTCTAGTAACATGAAAGCTGTCGTTCTAGTAATGTTCTAGGAACATTTATCCATATGACCCATGCTGCAAATGATCTGTACTTATTAACGCAATGGCACAGTAATTATTTCAGAACATTTGTATCTACTCGAGCAGTCATGCAACTATAAATATTGTTCGAACGTAGTGATAAGGTAATTAATCTGAGTTAATCTAATACTAAGTTGAATTTCGCGGAATGAACTTACTAAAGGTAACGTGTGGTTTTCTCTACCACCTATTTCTAACAGTAGCTATGGTGGAATGGATGGTGCCCGCTATACTGCCAACTGTGCCTTAGGCGTCTAATCGTTTCATCAATATTCAATAGGTAAATGAAAATGTCACCTAGTAAAACTAACTTAGTGGTGTATTTAAATTTCTGGATATTATCTCAGGACGAATTCGCAAAAATGAAAGCTGAACTTGAAGCCGAATATCTGGCTACGTTTAAAAAGACTGTTGCCATGCACGAAATGTTTCTGCAGAGACTCGCATCGCACATGATTTTTAAAAATGACGCCAATTTTCGAGTCTTTCTCACCTACAAAGATGATCTCAGTGTTCGAGGTCGCAACAAGGCAAGTTGACGGCATTTCTTCATATTAACTACTTTCAGCTTTGTTTGCCTTCCTGCCAACAATTGGTTTATCCATTGACCTAACGCATTTTCTTGTGCCTTAAATAGATTGCATTCAATCAGGGCAATATGTGAGATAGTTCTTATGCATATCAACAAATATTAACTGCAATAGCATGTTTTAGGAACTAGACTATAGTCTAGCAAATGTCATAATTCAGTGAAAGCGTACACATAAATCTTCAATGAACTATGCTCCTAAATATATATGAGTTTACGTGTAAGATTTAAGCTAAACCGTGGGTTATTTTGACAGCATGTTAAGTAGATGTTACAGTAAGATGTAAGTAAGGTCGTTTATTTTATCGGAGTCGATTATAAGATTAAGGTTATTGATGAAATGCAGATATCAAAAGATCCATATCCAAGACAATAGAACCTAAACCCAATCAACCATATATATATGTAGTAGCAGTTTAGCTGTGTATTAAAAAAAATCATTACTAATTTTATTTTCATTTCAATAAAAATAAGGTTTTTTTTTTTTTTTTTATCTATTTAACTCTCTTTTTCTTCTTTTTGTTTTTCTATCAGTGGGTATAATACTTTGCCGAATTTCGTCTTTCTAATATCTCTAAAGCTATTGCAATTTTATACAGGTTTCTGAGTGGGTTATATATCATACTGGCACGGAATAAAATTTCCATAGTTCAACTGCTTGTATTAATTTGATGGTACACTTGTATTCTGATACACCAATCACAATAAAAGTAGTTGCTATCATTATTGAATTGATACGTCTGAATCAAATACCGTTAACAGGTATGAAAATATTTGCGCAGCATGATAAAGAAACCAATGTGACTAAACTGTTGTTTTAAGTATAGCGGCAGTGACAGGTTAATTGTTGTATTCCTTTGTCTTATTTTCCGCAGAAGGAGATATTCCACAAATTTTTCAGTAAGTTAAACCAGAGTGCCGACGAATTTATGTCTCCGTCGTCAGAACGCAATGACGTATTCGATCCCCAGAAGCATTTCCTCGTATCGTATCAATCACATGTTGAAAATGCCTTCCACAAAGCTGACAAGATGACACAGGTATGTCGAAAGCAGCACTAAAAGTACGGAATGCTAAATTATTGATTTAATCCTACGATTTGGAAACACGGATATAAATTAATCTAATACATGAGGCAGTCAATAATTGTGGATGTTCGTGATGCGCTTAACCCCAAGTGCATGTCAGTCCTTTGTGACAGAAGTAACTATAAAAGCGTTCGTGTTCATCTGGCGGCGAAAACCCTGGGTTGTTAGTAATAGTAGTACCTGTTTTCTTATTATAATGAATACTCATTCACAGTATTAATATATCTGTTTAGTAAATAGTGCGTTAACTTAAGCTAATCTGCTTGCAGGCACATAAACGTTTAGCAGACAATTATATCCGTATATCTACGCACTTCCTCGAGCTTTCAAAAATGGAAGCTCCGTTACGCAAATTCGTTCCTCGTTTTGCTGATGGATTGGAGCGGGCACGCCGCTGCGAAGGACGAGCCTGTTCCGATATCGACCTAAAGCTTACGGATATCCTAAAGTATTATTTTAATGAAACGCGAGCTGCGAGAGACCTTATGCAGCGTCGTGTCCGATGCCTTGCTGACTATGAGACTGCTAATAAAATGGTCGAAAAGGTAAACTTTACCAAATAACATGGCAGTGAAAATAATAATATATTTTTGCTTAGGCGAATAAAAATTAATAACTGAGCTATGCCCATACTATGGCAAGTCCTATTACTGCCTCAAATTTAACTAGTGGCTTGAAATATTACGTACCATAGCTTAACGTCACTTGACTCGCTCGTGTTTTTCAGATACATCAATGTTTGCGTCACTGCCATGAAAAGCACAAGTCATCTTTATTTTATTAAAAGAGATACAATTATTGCACATCAATATTCAGTTTCGCCTTTTTAGTGAATATAAGGGCACAAGATACAATAATAAATACATGTATATGAATTGTATTGAGCAGAATTTTGAAATTGTAGAGAACCGTTTTCTTGGGTTACCGTACACGAATTGAAGAAATCAACAAATGCAGTCTCAATAGTTCATCATCACGTTACGAAAAGGAAGTTGCTTAACAGTGATGGCTTTGCGATATATTCTATGAAATTGTAGGCGCGTTTCAGGGATCGCGAGGTCCGTGCTGCTGAAGAGGCACAACGTGAGGCTTGTACGCGATATAAGGATATTTCTGGTACCATGGAGCGAGAACTTGCAGATTTCCGCATACGCCGTATTGCCAATTTCCGCAAAAGCCTTATTGAGTTAGCGGAACTACAGCTGAAACACAACAAGGTTTGTTAATAATGTTAGTCCTGTACGCATGTACAGAAGGGCAGTTGGACCTACTGTTGAGAAAGACGTATGTATGTCGGAAAAAAGGCTTCTAATTAGTAAAAGTAATTTTGATCTAACTGTAAAGCTATGATTGAATCGTAGGCTTACCTTCCCCCTCCTTGTGGCTATCCGTGCATTGCATGTATTTAGGTGTTTCAAATATTTTGCAAGGGCGACCAAAAATTATGCAGAGCATAACATCTATTTATAAACAAAAAAAAATTTGCGTAATGTTTGTATGCAGTACTGCTTTTTGATTTACTTCTCTTTGCTCTTTCTAATAATTACAGAGTGCTGCTCAGGTATTACGCAACTGTTTATTAGCCCTCAAATCGGAAATGATTCAAGAAGAGCTCTGATTTGTAACAGAAGCCATCAACAAATCGATCCATCCGTTCGTGGTCCACGCACTATGGATATGTTTTGACATTGACATTGCCATATTCGAAGGCATCCCTGCTGTTTCCTGCCTGCGAAGAACGCAAAGACTTCGATGTAATCGATTTCATCTTTTTGTGTCTTCGCTCATATTGCTATAATGAATACAGAGTTCACTCAATGGGTTCAGGTCATGATGAAGCCAAGCTTGGTTGCGTGGGTGCTAGCCATCTCTTCTCTGATCCCAATTCCTTTTCAGCGAACACACGAAGGCCAGGAATGCCTCTGATTGCTTGCTAGGCATTTCATGAAGCAAGTAAAGCTGTACAGTAATCAGACGTGAAGAGGAAACTTAGAACTTGACTACAAAAAACAAATACGAGTCTTCGTATATGCACCTTGATATGTACTGTAGTTAGAATTTTCAACGAGGATTTGTTGTCTTTCGATGCAAAAAGTAGCGGCTGGAATTTGCTTTACAAATATTTTCTCAGTGATCATCTTTGTATAACAAAACAAGGCAGGCAAGAAACAAATCAACATTAACAGTTATCAATAATTTCTGATATTATTACTATTGAACTATCATAAAGCTTTATGTTTATTTCTCAAGAGAAATGAATAACATCACTATTAAGCCTTGTATTATCTTAGAATCATAGCTATTGAATGATTAAATCGTATCAACTTTACGTGAACTTGGCATGCATGCCGCTATAGTCGAATGATAAAAGATCACCACTGCTGGATACCAGAGGCTGCCGCCATGATCCTATATTCCCTTTAATTAGTCGTATCTCTAGGAGCCATTTTAGCACCAATCTAAATTTACTCTTCTTGGTATTTCTGCTCATGCTTGCTAAATGAGTTAATCTTTTTTTTATTCAGATACAAGTCAGTTGTTGTCGTAAATATTCTCAAACACATTACAGAAGCTTATATTTTCAGACATCTCATCGGCAGCGTTATTAAGGTATATTACTTCAAGGGTTGCATATCAAAAGTGAGCTTGCTGAGGCATCCAAGTAGCAACGTATAAATCACTTGAACTATTAGTACGATTTTTCTACTTTGCAGACATAAGGATAACTCAGTTGGAGAGATTGCTTCCTTTTATATGCATACACATTTATATCCTCAGAGAGAGACTGTCTGGAAGTTGAGTGTGATTCACAAAGATGATTACATTGTATAGAAGCAAGTTATATTTCCTCCTTGTCAAGCTCTCGAATGGATTAGTGAAAAGCGTGATAATTAAGGAATATATGCAGACCCTAATCTCACCCGTGGACCGATCTAAACCTGAAGACAGTGGCTTTCTTACAAGCTTAAACAAATATTTCGTCCTACTTTTTTTTTTTTTTTTTTAGTAATTCGTTATCTTCCAAGAACCGAGAACCTATAGTGTAAGTTTTTGTCGCAAACCCTCAAAACCTTGCGATATATTTTGTAAATATATTGTTCGATACCACGTGTCCTACTGCTGTCCATATTTAGTCTTGTGCATTCAGCAAAACTGAGCCTAACACTAATGTAAAGTGGTCAAGTAGCAGGCTAATAAATTCGAATTCCGTTTCAACTTTATTCAAGCTACAGAAGCTCTATTCGCTGAGTCGACGATTTTGAATACTTGACGGGAAAACGAGTGTTCTAGACAAATGTGTATCTGTTGCTTGGCGAAGAGCTAACGAAGTACGCATTAATAATACCTGCACCTAATTGCAAACCTCAACGAAGATGAAACGATAACGACGAATACTACAGGAATATTTACGGCTTGACCGATATATTTATACAATACGGCTAGACTAACTACCTTGTAGATAAGTTACTTCCAACTTATCTACAAGGTAGTTACGCCTTCATAATATTATGACTATTATAAATTCAGTAAAAGTGACAAGCTAAGAGAAACAAAATTTTAAATGATAAAAGCCTCATATATATATATATATATATATATATATATATGGTTCAATATTACGTAATGACAATATGCGTGTTATAAGAATAAAGTATATTTCATGATATAATTATTGTATATTCTTATATGTGGTGTAATAGCATTATCATGATAGTAGAGACAATACGATGCTCCACTGTATTAATTATGCAATAATAATACTAGCCCTTTCCGTTTGCCTACCAAATATTTAGTTAATGTTCGACGCGAAATTATGTATCTAAATGATGAACGCATTTATTTACTTTATCGTACCATTGCTGTTAATATTACTCATTTATTACAGTATTCTGGTTTAATAATACATAGTACAGTTTTTCGTTTTCCAATCAATACAGAAAACTTACATTATATATATATATATATATATATATATATAATATATATATATATATATATATGTTAGCAGGAGCTATAAGCGTCCCTAACCCTAACACATTCTGTCGTTTTTTTTTTTGTCTTTCCGGCGGAAGTATGCTATCAGCCATTGGTAATTGCTCAACCGGTCCTTATCTCCATTAGATCGTTTAGCGTTTTTTAGTTTACGTTACTAATACGATCTCTTTATACGTTCTCGCTGTTCGATTCATTCCCAACTAATTTCTATAATAACAATGAAGCGTCTACGTTTGAGTCTCGCAGTGCTCGGCCTCTAACATTCAATTGGTTGTCCACGTGTGCTCAAATCTCAAGCTGTATGAATGATGTAGTTTACACTTGCTATGATTGTAGTGGTGATAATAATAATGGTTAGGTTTTCTGTTGTTCGCTGTTGCCAGTAAAATACACGTCCCGATCTTTCACCTCAAAACGAGTGCAAAAAACATAATATTGAATGAATATTTAATTGTGGAATTCCCAACATCGATATCGTCTAGACTAAGGAGTATCCCCAGACTTAGCGTAGTAGGACACGTATTTGCCTGTTAACCCTGAAGGACACGTGGTGGTCGAATCCGGGCGTAGACGAACCTCGTTTCGTGCTGGGAGAAGCCATCTGATGGAATACCTAACGGCGGCACAAGATGCACAACTCGAAACTTGGAATTGAGATTATGGAATATTCTACAACCCTCTAGTGCTTTGTTTACCAATAAATATGTTTAGGAGTTTCATTGCTACATTTCATATTGGCCAACGGACAAAGAATAGTTACGCCCACCACTACATTTACAAGAACATCAAACAATGACATCTTCCTTTTGCGGGTGTAAATGTTGCATTATTAATAACGGAACGCTGCAATCACAAAAGTGATTGTCCTTACAGCTACAGTTTACTCTGTGTCTACCTCAAACTGTTGTAGGAAAACCGATGATGGTGAAATAGAAATTACGACTGGTAGTAATCAGCATAATTTCGAATAATAGCGTTCTGGCGGCAAGGCAGGTGAATTAGAATAAAAGCTTCAAATGAGTAATTGGTCTCATTGTAATTGTCGCAATAACTATTTATCAACGTAATTTCTAAACATCAGTGTATTAACTGCAGACGTCGACCCTACAGATAAAGCAAAATACAATGATTCGCATGAAATATTGCTTAAGTCTAGTCTGCCTATTAGGTGTCCAGTCTCATACGGCCTATACCCACGGAACGTTATCTGAACGCCCACGGCCTGAACTGAATTGAGGCTCTATTGTTCCGTTTCCATGGTGTTATAGTTTATTTATTAACCTGTCAGGTATCAAGTCCGTTTTTGTATCTGCCGAGACCAAATATTTATTAACATTTTGCATCAACTATTTTCAGTATTTGTTTGTTGAAGTGATAGACCACAAATCTTTAGGAGCCATAGCAGCTAGGTATCACTAGGTCGTACCGAACAGGTTTTCCAATTACATATATTCAGTTTAAATAATATCGTCGCATTTTTTTATGCTATAATCTAGTAGACCCTTGACCCATACATTCTCTTCGTCCCTGCCGCTTATTACCTGCAGGATGTATTTGGAGGATAATACGAAGTGCAGAAATGTCTTTTCTGCGTTTTTCGTCGTTCCCATCCTTCTTCTGGGTCCCTTCCTTTAGCTTTTTTTTAATAGAGTACAGAATGAGGAATATGTGCTCCACTCGTTCGTGCATGATAAATAAATATAGGTGTTATATATTTATATATATATATGCACATGTGTGTGTTTGTGTGTATGTTGATCTTACACCTATTTATATGTACTCGCGTATAACCTCAGTTTGGGTTACATATTATCTCAATTATGTGCTCTGCACTTTCCATCTGCATCATATTATATATATATATATATATATTACGCTACTGCGTTTTATGTGTGTATTGTAGCTATGGCTCTTTGTCATACAGAACAGTGCCTTTTGTTTTTTGACTGTTTATTTCGTCAAGATCACTTGTCTATACATACTACTGTTACCTAGTCGATGTTGCAAACGTGAGTGAGTGCCCCTCTACTACTGGACTAAGACAGCCTTGTTCGCTTACACTAGCGGTATGATTAAAATTAGTGTCATCATGAATCAATGCACCCAATGGCTGCAGAGTTAGATAGCTAGGTGAATAGACCTCAATGGCTGCACTATTTGAACAGCAGTTTAATCGTGAATCTCGCGTTCGTTGATTGAAATGTTCACCCACTGCACAATGTCATTTACGACTGTTCGAAGTATTTCTACTGTTTGGTCTCCGTTTGTGTGCCCTGTTTTATTTATAAATTGTGATCAATCAGTGATATTACTGGTAATGTATTTCATCATTGCAAGTGTTTTGGCTCCCGTCTCTCTCTCTCTCTCTCTCTCTCTCTCTTTCTTTATATATATATATATATATATATATATATATATCGGACTTGGCGACGTTCGCGTACTTCGTAGGGCAAAATACAATAATAATTATTCAGTAATGTTGTCCTTTGTATTTTCCGTTTCGTTCATTGGATCTTTCTGAAATTGCCGCTTATACACTCAAATCCATTGCGTTATCCTGATAATTGGGGTCGTAATCACCCAAATGTTGCTGATCCTGCTATTATATTAGTTATACCCGCTACTACCCTATATAAACGTCGCTGCTATATTTCATATACACAATCATATATACATTACTATCTAAAACGCTAAAGCACAAATGTTTTGTCGTGCAGATGGGTTCATTCGTGCTATATACTATTATTTATGATATATAATATAGCCACTTTTGGTGTTCTAAGCTACGTGTTTCGCTATATCTTTGAAGTTGTATACATACCACCACACGACAGATTCACGACAATTCTACATAAGGTACCACACCGCAGTAAGCTACTAAAGACATAGGTATACACATTATATTACACGTAGAGCAGTTCTCATTAAACATATGTGAACCTACACAAACATACTCACATAAACACGCAGCAGATGTTCTTCAATGATTATACAGGACCATATTATTGTAGATGTAATGATAATGATCGTTGTAATAATATTTGTAGAAGTGCCACCTATTTTATCAATAACATATCTACGTATATGGATTTTTATTCATCATACATATGATTTTTGTGTGTGTGTGTGTGTGTGAATGTATATATATATATATATATATATATATATATATATATATATATGTGTTGACACGAATGTGTGTCATTTCTTCAAAGTACAAGTTCGCGTAGCTATTTTTAACCCGCGTAATATCTCCACCACTTAGTACTACCATTACTGCTGTTACTGGCACTAGCACTATTATACCATGAGAACAATTGGCTCACTGATGTGTTATGGGTAACATTTTTCGAAGCATTACAGTGCGTTAATACATCGATGCATGGCTTTAATGTTTTGAACTTCATCAACGGACGCCCATTGCCATTAATGCCAACGTGGCATTAATTTGCTCCTTATTTCTCGACACTGCTCCTAGAACAGTGGATACCCAGAACTAAGATTTTTCACTACTAAAATTAGAAATTAGGTATTAATTACAGATGCGTCGACGTAGCACTGCAGATATCAAGCTATAAGCTAGCTATTTGCAAAAGCCGAAAAATATCAGAATATTTTAACAATCTTACCTGAAGTGATTACTGAATTATGAAAGTAATTTTAGAAAAAAAGAACAGACCGAATTTAATTTTTTCTTTTAAAACGCTGATGTGCTTATGTGATCACCAGTCTGACTAACACGTTCATAGAACTCGTTGGTTTAGCAAAAGTTAGAATTGAGACCAGCAGCAGCCGCGGCAGAAAAGCGCTTGTAACGGCTAGATAATACATGGAAATAAAATGGAGGCATGGGACTAACTTCGATTTTTGGCTACTGTAGACTCTGGCAAGATTGCAACATTGACCCCAAATGCCTTTTACTCTAGCGATCAGGGCGCCTTACTGCTAGCTCTAGTAACAATATAATATTACTACTCTAACAATTTCAAACTTCTCTTTTCAATTAGAACAGGATAATAAAAGACTCAGAATTTGTCGCTATACGTTCACTGTTATGTGAAGCGTCATCAATGGTTGTGATGACGCCAAACAATACACCAGTTTTCCACCACTCCGCTGAAACACAACTACCTTTTATCATAAACTCCAATCCTTTCGCTTCGTTATAATTAAATCATCGCAGTAAACGAGTATAGCGAATCATTTTTTGTCCAACGAAAACAAAGCGACTTTTTTGAGTCCTTGGCGTTTGCCTCTATAGGAAAAGCCGCGATGCATTTATCGCCTACTCATTAGTGTTTACAAGATATTGTAATGAGAATGCGATACAATTTGTATAGCGCAAATTCATCGATCTGGCATTAAACGGCGACACCGGGCGAAAACGTATTAGGTTAGTATGCACAAACCATACCCCTCATAGATCCAGCCTCCTTTATTGATTATATTGTACAGTCATATTGATTGGTTTGCCTTAATAATTACGGCAATTTTGTTATCTCGTCATCTGACTGTTTAATACAGGAGGTACACATACGAGTACAATAATAAGGCATACGGAAAGCGGGGGAAAGGAGTAGACAGTAGGATAACGCCGTAATCGTTATAATCATGGCTAACGGCTGGCTTTGCCGTTAACTCCGTTAACACAGATCCTCTAACTATTTCTATGCTTTCGTATACATATATTCCAACGAATTTTCTTTCATTTTTCCCGCTCGTTCGCTCGCACTTCGCAAAAAACTCACACACTTTTTTAAGCGATTTTACCCTTGTTCACCTCTCGCTTCTATACACCATCGTCTATACATCTGTTGATATCGCACCTGCAGATGGTCGGCCTTTGTGCTTGAACTGCTCTCGCTGTTTTGCATCGATATCAGACGCCTTCTTTACGACCAGTGTGCTGGCTCTTAGCGATCGACCCCCAACGCCTCCCTCGCTGGTGCCGCCAACCTGATCCTGTATAACAGGAGTGCCAAGTCGTCCTATAGCCGCAGCACCGCTCGTTGGAGTTTTCTTCGGCGTGCCCTTGACTAGTGACCTGCGTCCTTTGGGTTGTTGGGCTTGTTCTTTGTCAGAAATAGCTTTTGCAGTGCTTGAACTCCTGCTGCCAACAACGCTGGCCGCCATAAATGTGGTATCCCGGCCTGCAGTCGATTTGTCGCCAGCTGTGCGGCTTTTTTGTCCGCTGCTCGTAAGAGCATTACTTTTGTTTTTAACATTTGAAGGAGCCTGTGAGCTTCGCGATTTTGGGGCAGTTGGTGTCTTTCCTTGTTGACTTCGTCGCCGGCTTGTCATCGGCGCAGGTAAGACAATCTCATCCTCGTCGTCCTCCTCGGTCGACGACGACATCTTCGCACGGCCTACAACGTGATGTCAAATAACCAACAAACCCTATTGGTAATGCCTTACAATCTCGACAGCCAATACTAAGGTAACTGGCCTATAACTGACCCCATTTTTAGAGCTCCAAGACTGCGCTTCGGTCTAGAATCATGCAAATAGTAAAATCATAATAAACCCACTAATCCAGCAGAAAATATAGTTATACAAACTATTCAATCTCCATAATTTTAATAATTGGGTTATATGGTTTTTACAGCCTGGACAATTGTGGTAAAACAGTCACAGGAATTTGTAGCGTTTGGTCTTACCTTTAGGTTGGGTTGTAGAAGACAGATGTGGTGATTGTTGTTGGCTCGGTTGTGTTGTCGTCGCAGTAACTGGAGCGTTCTTTGAATTCGTCTCTTTTCGGCTGCTACCTGTACTAGTTGCCTGAGTGCTAATACTGCTTTCGTCTGAAGTAATGGACGGCGTGTCCTTACGATTGGTGTCAGCGCTACCCCGTTTAGATGGAGGGGGGGCCGCGTTACCGAAATCGGTGTCGGTGGCACTGCGTCGCATACCTCGTCTCCGTCCACCTAAGCCTCCCGTCGGACTCGCTGCTGCTGCCGAGCCCCCAGAAGAGGCAGCTAAACCAGGACCGGGCACAGCAGGTGCTACAAGTGCATTGCTCCCACCACCCGCAGCGACTTTCTCCTCAAAAATGGCGATCTTGCTTCTTACAGGTGACTGGTCACATGCTGCCGCCCTTTCGTTGGTGCCATCTTTTAACCGAGCGAAGATTGTTTTTTCTGTCAAGGATGAGCAAAGTATAGAGGCAAAGTATGTATATTTTTTGGCATAACAATGTCATTGTACTATCTGAATAATGCCTTACCATTTCACACTATTTGTTCCTAAATTCTGTCCAGATATCAGTTAGAGTGCTTACGAGTTACGTAGTATTAGTATTTATTAAATCCGAACAAAAGGGAAGGGAAACAACCGTTCAGTGTATTCTTGTCAAATATGACCAGATACTCGTACCCTCGTGTACGCGTATCATAAGTTGTGGTTCATCAAGAACTCACTTTTCGGTTGCGGTGCCGAGCTGACAGATGGGGCAACTAAGGCGTCAGATGACCTTGTCGTTGTTGCTGCTGTTGGTGCAGAGATTGTCGCTGCGACTGCTGCCACCTGAGCGGCACCGGCATTTGCTTGTTTTCGGCCTCTGGCGAGACCGGCCTGGACCAATGGTGCCCATGCGTGTTCCCGGTCCCGCAATTTTTCCACCTCGTTTCTTAATAGACCGTTCTCTGTTTGTAATTTCTGCATTTTTTCGGGTAGGTCTTTGAACGATTTGAGCAGTTCAGTGCGCTCGTCTGAAAAGAGAAACGTGGCAAATTATTTTTGCATCAAATCAAGGCCAGATTATCCCGTGTTTGATCTCGTTTATATATCGTAAGCATCACAAGTAATAATTTTAACTGTAGATATTATAATTTGACACTTAAACTATACACACTCTCAAGGTAGGTGACGTGCTGCTGGACTTCTGTCAGTTCATTAGCGACCCGTTCTTTATCTTTTTGTAGCGTCACAACTTCTTTCTCCAGCTTTCGAGACAGGTTCAGCGTCGAGCGGCATCTAAAAAACAATACACGTAATATGCAATGAAACAATATTAGCAACATACAGTAGTAGGGTTTCTTTGATGGTAAACAGGTCCTTGGCATCATTTCTTCGGTACAGCCTCGAGAACTTGCCCTTACTTGAAGGCATACCTGTGGGTGGGTCTTGCTGGGCTTATTTGGGGTTTCTCCGGCATGGTAGTATGCCATAGTAATCGTATGACATGGTAGTATGCCATAGTAATCGTATGACATGGTAGTATGCCAACATGCCATAGTAACCGCTTGCTAATGCCGACATTTAAACTAGCAATGCTCGCACGTTCATGATTATAATGGAAACATACTTAAAAATATGCACATTAATTACTCAGACCATGCTGTCCTTTATAGTAAAGGTCGCATGGTTCAGCTATGTTCTCCATGTGCTAGATAAGCATATTCCCTAACCAAATTTATTTGTTATCACGGTTTTCTGAGAATTATCTGATTAATAGAAAACATAGAACTAATATTTCAACAATGACGGCACCGTCTTTTTCGATGATGCGCGTCGTCCTCTTATTTCCCGTTTTTTATACAGCACATCGTACTGATATGCAAATATATTAATATACCTGCTCTCGGCGATGGTGCGTTCGCTGAGTGCGATGTCGTGGCGTTTCTTCATCTGGTCGAGCTCCTCACCAGCTTTGGCCAGCTTGTCGGTTAGGTTCGCCTGTTCAATTGCGTGTCGTGCGGCCGCCTGAGACTCGGCTTCGCGAGCATCTCGACTTTCCTGGACCTCCCGAAGCAGAGACGCGTGTCGAGCTCGCAGTTGCTCGAGCTGACGAACGCCATCTTCACGTTCGGCGCAGACCTTCGAAATTGTCACATTACGGCTGGCAATATCCTGTTCAAGTTGGGCGATGCGATTAATAAGCGCGTCCTGTCCCGCTAGCTTGTCACCGTACGCCTGGTTTTCGCCGCGCAGCTTTTGATTATCGCTGTGCAGAGCCGCCAGGTGTTTCTCTTTTTCGGCGACTGCCAACAGGAGCTTGGACACTTGCTTCTTTAAATTATCTGTGTGCGCCATAGCCGTGCGCAGATCCTTTGTCAGTTTTTCGGTCTGTGCCAATTTACCTGCCAACTCATTTCTTATCGCCGTCATCTGCCGCTCCTGATTCTCCCTCTCGATAGCCGATTCTTTGGTTTTCGTTAGGAGAGACGCTAACTGCGTTCCCAATTGCGCCGCCAATTCAGCCTTCGAAGTGCGTTCAGTGCGTGCGCTCTCGAGTTCAGAATTGACCTGCAGTGAATATTGTACCCACATGTCTATTACAAGGACAAACGCAACTTTATCTATAATACCACTTTGTCTCTATCACATGAATACTCGCGTTTCCTCATTTAAAGCTTTAAAAATAGCCTGCGTGACCGCGTGAATTTTAGACCCATGTGCCATTTATTCACCTAATAGACTATTTCTACCTCGCAACTCAGTTAAAGTACGTTAATCTTTAATCTATTGTCGAAACGTACTTCGAGTGTATGGCTTAATTACCTTGAGGTGTTTCTCGCTGAGTGCCGCAATTTCCGACATCAACGCCTCTTTATCGCGCGAGGCAGCTGCCGTAGTCGTTGCAGCTTCCTGTCGAATCTTTCCTAACTCTGTGGACAGTCGCTCATTGACTGAACGCTGTTCAGCTACTTCAGAACGCATACGCTCTACTTCAGCTCGTGCGATTTCACAGCCCGAACGTAATTCTGAGTTTTCTGCCCGCACTTTTTCCAATGAGGATTTCATATGTGTCATTTCACATAACTGTTGTCGACACTTAACCAGATCAACGTGCAGAGATGTCTTTTCCTCTTCCATCTAAAACGCGATAACATAGACCCACAAACCCACAGCGTTACTTAGTTAGATGAAATTGAAATAGCTAATGTATGCTTATTTAATGCTATTGGTATGAACAAACGTGAGTCTCCCTAAAATGTAAACCGAAGCAAAACCTTTTAAACAATATTCCCGCTAGACCCAATGTTACCTTTCAACAAATACATGTGAATTTTTAACTTCTTTATGCATACCTTGTAATATTTTCGAAATTTAATATATTTAGAAAGCTATATTTTTGAAAGGACTGTGGTAACTATTTAACAATATAAACTTACCGCTTTAAGTTCCTGCATGATACGGCTATTTTCTTCCGTGGCGTGATGAAGTTTTGCACGCGTTTCTTCTTGTGCTGCCTCGGCAGTACTCGCTCGAGCCTCGGTGGCAGAAAGGCGCTCCGTGACATGTGACAGCTTCTCCTGCTCGACGCGGAAATTACCCGAGAATCAAAAACATCAACAAAAGGCATACCTTATACCAGGTATATATTGACAAATCTTGAACTGCAAGAGAGCACTGCTAACCTACTACACATTTTTTTTGTCTCTGGCAGAAGTCTATTAATACTATTTCACTTCTGAAAGCTTATTTTTCATTGTTCTAAACACATTTCAAATCTATTATAGGTAACGTCTGTAACGATAGCCTCGACAGTCAACCGCACAAAAACTTCTTGATCATAAATTGAGCAGGAAGCCAACTATAAGTTCGTACAAGTACTTTATGTCCGATATATGGATCTTACCTGTAGGGAACTATTTGCCTGTTGACTGGCAGAATTTTTCTCAAGCTCGCGTCGGATATCAATCAGTTCTTTATTGCTCTCGTCCGCTCGGGCTTTCTCATTTTGCACCTCGGCTTGCAACGATTCGATTTCTTTGGAGCGGATCGCTAATTCAGATGTTGCCTGCAAGCAGATTATACATTACGTCAATCACTTGAATAGATGCGTCGACTGCAAACTCAATTTTAGCTACAAGGCGATGTGTTATTCGATGTTGTTTGACGTTTGAAAAAGGCAAGTACTCTACATGTTCGGAAATGACGTAATAGTCGCGTGGGTGCTCATTACGCTAAGTGACATCATCAGTGGTGGCGGCGCCAACAACGACAACAACAACAACAACGAATCCTACCTGTTCGATCCTTTTTTCAAATTCAGTCAGTTCTGCTGTCTGGTTGTCAGCATTTTTCTGCGACTCTTTAAGTTTCACTTTAAGAAGCTCAAGCTGCGCATTCAGTGAGTCAGCACGCTCGTCCGCTTTTCGTGCGTTTACATTAGCTGTTTGAAGCTGTTCTTCGAGTTCCTTTATTTGGCCTGTCACACCCTCGAGCTTGCCCTTCGTCTCATCAAACTGCCCCGCCTGCGCCGACAATTGGCTTCGCAAGGCCTCGGCTTCAGCTTGTCGTTCCAGTACTCGCTCCCTTTCAGCTTTAAGTACCGCATCCGTTTCCGTAGCCTGTGTTTCGAGCTCTGTAATACGCTCTGAAAACAACAATATTCAGCGAATTCGGACAGTCAGTCCCTAAACTTTGTTCCACTTCCGTAAAATAGTTACGTACTACTTAAACTAATAGCTAGCGTTAATCACAATTCTACTGAGAGCGACCAGGTCCGTGGACGACATATTTGACCAAATTAAAACATCGTTAAATTAACTACCTTTGCTTAACGTAAGTTCACGGGTCCGCTCATCAAGAGCCGAACGGCTTCTGGCGAGATCTGACCTCAGTTCTTCGAGAAGCATTTCAACCTCAAGTGAAGGAGGTTCCATACTCCGTTGATTTTTTAGTCTGGCGATTTCAGCTTCCATTTCCTCCATTTTGACCGATAGTTCACGGGAGCATTTTTCTGTTTCCTGTCGAGTTGTCTCCAACTCACGCAGCTTTCGAAAGGCTCCTTCGAGTTCACTATTTCGTTTATTTATTTCGTTATTCATTTCGGCTAATTTCGCCGACGCTTCATCGAACCGCTCGGTCAACTCGTTACAGCGTTCACGAAGCTCAGATTCGTTCGCTTTAGCGGCGGCTATAACGTCTTGACTTTTGGCCTTTTCTTCAGCAAACGATAGTCGTTCCTGTTGCAACGTTAGGCAATCCTCGTCGAGTTTTTCGCGGTCCTGCTGTAGTAACCCTTGTTCACGTTTGAGTTCATCGGCATCGATTTGTAATGTCTGCTGTAACTTGTCTAGCTGATTTTTCATTTCAGTAACTTTCTTCTGCTCAAGGCTGAGCTCTGCTTGCTTTGATGCTGCTTCGTCTTCAAAGCGTTTCTTATCTTCATCAACCTTACGTGTTTTTTCCTCAAGCTCCTGTGTCGCTTGAGCTGCCTCTGTTTTGACCTGTTCAAGATCACGGCGAAGGCCATCGGCTTCGGCTTCCGCTTTGGACTTGGCGGCCTGCGCGACACCGATAGCCGCCGCTTGATAATTTGCCTGGCGTTGTTGCTCTTCCGTAACGCGCTCTTCTTTGCTGCGAACCGAAGCAACCGTGACCTTGAGGCGCTCATTCTCGCCGGAAAGCCGATTCAGAGCGTGCTTTACTTCACTCAATTCAAGCATTAAATTCTGATTCTCCCTTTGTAACTCTTCTAGTTTAGCGCCTGCTCCTGCTGCACCGGAAATTCCCCCGCTTCCAGCTTGTGACGTCAGCTCGGTCAGCTGAGAAGTTAAATTCTCGATCTGGTGAGTGAAGTCGGCACAACGGTCAGTCAGGTCAGCCTCACGGCGCGCGGTCGCAGCCCCTTCCTTCCGTACACTCTCCAATTCGGCCCGCAATCGCATGACCATCTCCTCCGTTGAGGTAAAAGTCTCTCCACTGGAAGACGATGTTGTTACCTGCCAGATTGGCAAATGAACACGATTGGTAAGTTACTACCAATGATCGTATAGCTCATAGAAATTTTCCTCGCAGTACGGTCTTTATAGAAAGGAAGGCCCAGACGACGCTTCCTATGATGCCGCTTCCTATGATGCCGCCTAACATTGATCTTCTCTATACTACCGGTTCTATTAGGATCCTAACTACATCGCTACAACGGCAGAATGCTAGAAAAATGTACTTTAATTCTCTAGCAGCTAAGTGTACGTTTGATTTTGAATTAAAGTAGCACACCAATGGTAGTGGCTTCTCTGAACTTCTATTTGTCAATTGGTATTCTGTTCGTCCTGTCTATTTATCTTATGCTCGTTGTGCTTACATCTGTTGAAGACGAAGGCTCTTTAGTCGGATCGCGATCAAGCAACGTGCTTCTTCCATCAGCCGTTTGTAGATCCTGTACCGTGTTTTCGTTCATCTCGATATCTGTTTCTTGTTGTGTTCCCGTTGTTTCCATTGTTAGTTCTTTATTTCCCCGGGTGTCTCGCAAAAGAACGAGCTCTTGTTCCTGTCGCGCTAACTTTTCCTGCAGCGTTGCATTTTTCGCATGACTTTCCTCTAAAATCAATTCCACCTACGTTTAAGCCAAAGAAAGAAGTAAACAAATGCATCTATTCGTAGTGAAGTAGACAATTGGCTATACAAAGCGGCTAAAGGTACTTAAAACGCACTTTTTCTTTGTTTCGTTACAGCTAAAACCGCTTCTACACTATGACGAAAGCATAGCATAGCATAGCATAATTTTGTATGTAAATTATAAGTGCCTTCACGAACCTCCTCAAGGGCATTGTTTAAGCGTTCTATTGTTTCCTGTTGTTTATTAATTTTTTCCTGAAAGCGGTCCGTAATTGCCGAACACTGTTCAACCGATGAGCTGGCTGTATTCACCACCAAATGACCTTCGACATCGTTGTTGTTGTTGTTGTTGTTGCTGTTGTTGTTTGTTGTGACATTCATATTTGCCACTGTTGTAGCGCTGTTGGCAACAGCCATTGTCGTATCACTTTCATCCGCATTTAGTAATCCGTTTATACTTGACGGATCTGCTCGATCGTGCCTGCCACAACAATGAACAAACATCATTCAAGGACATTCAAAGTGCACAACAGTGATTTAGATAGTAACCAAAGGCGCGAGCCACGTGCAAATAGGGTCGTCCCTCTCCCCTTCCATTTCAAATTGATTCTATTCTTTTTGACGTTCTCTACACACTCGCAAGTATTCCGATTGTGTAATAGCAGATGTAGTACTCCTCCTCACGGTCATCTTAACGCTCCCGACAACATGTCTATTTTGTTTGATAATTTTTTATTTTATACATATGTATATATAAACGTTTATATAAATATAAATACTGACTTTTTACTGCACGCCGTACTGGTCGCTGCGGTTGCAGTCGTCGATGACGACGTGGTTGTTGTGAGCTGTGAAGGCGAGCACAACGCAACGAGTAAGGCAAGTTTATTAGCAAATCCTGGCTGAGACCTAAGTACCACACCTCGATGGCAGGGTCTCACATCCAATGAATCAGCTTGCAAGTCTACGGACCCATAAGACTGCTCTGGAATGTTATTCACCTCCTGATCCTCATTTTCGTGCTTATCTCTGCTTTTACTCTCAACATCTTTCTCCTGCTGAATTAAGGCTAAAAGGGCGTCAAGCAGTTGATCAGGATCGTCATTTGCCGGGATAGTATCGTCACCCTGCGTTTGTTTCAAAGCGGCCTGAGCTTTGAGCGCACCAATTTGCGCTTCTAACTGCATCTTTTCGCGTTCGCCTTTCGTTAGCACCTAAAGAAACAAAGCGACCATATCAAGGATAGTCTTTGAAATTTTTTACGCAAATACATTTCAAGAACTTTGGCATCGCTAAACGCATTTAAACTAAATTGAATAAGTTGAGCTAAGCTATATAAAACACGCCAGAAAAATAAACGACAATTTACACTTGCATCAAGAGTACCTTTATCTGTACGAGACAAACAAATAAGTGAAAAGGAATTAATGTAAATTTATCGTAACATTATTGTTGTAACTGGTATTATGACGCTTTTGAGTAAAAGTATTCATTAAAAACAGAAGCATTCCTATTAAGCAATCTGGCTACGAGTATCAATGTCTAACATAAGGTTAAGTGTCGAGCAAATCAAAATAAAAACTATATATTTTATAACCAAGTATACTATGCACATATATGAACAAGTTAATCTGTGCCAAAAAAACATTCCCTTACGTATTTAAACAAATCACTTGACGCAAAGATTAAAACTCTAACAAAAAGATGTTGAGGAACATGGACAAGTAGGTACCTCTTGTAGACTCTTGAGTTTAGCATGTAGCTCCTCGACATCGGATTTGGCTAGCTGAACGACTTCAATCGATTGTCGCCGAACCGCATCCGCCCGGTTCAAAGGGTTCAGAGCACCCCCTGCACTTCCGGTTTGTCCGACACCGCTGGCACAGCCTGCACCTCCAACAATCGCATGGCCAGTGGAAACGTTGCTGTTACTTGCGACCCCAGGGCTGCTGTGGCCTATACCAGCAGCAGCAGCAGCAGCACAATGACTACCACTACTACTACTACCACAACTGCTGCTAATACTACTATTATTGTGAGTATCGCCACCACTACAAACATTAGCGCCACCAGCGCCGTTGTCACCACTGCTGCTACCGTTATTATCGGTGTCGCTGTTGTTGTTATTGTTGTTGTTGCTGCTGCCCGAGCTGCTGCTGTTGTTGTTGTTGTTGTTGTTGTTCTTGGCGATCTGTGCACTCGCACAAACGGTTACTACACCGCCGGCGTTGGAGGCGTTGGCGGCGTTTGCCACTCCAAGTTGTACCATGGCCGTCGACGAGCACGAGATGCTATTGCTGTTGAAGAAGTGAATGAGCGGCGGACGACGATGAACACGCGCAGAAAGAGAAGCGACCAAAGAGAGGGAAAAGGAGGGGGCGTCAAACGAGATCAGGTGAGAGATACGGAGAGACAGGCAAACAGAACGCACATAAGTGACATGACCACCACGAAGCGGGCCAGGCCAAGTAGTAACAGGAAGGGAAAGCACAACAGACGACATAAAAAGAGAACGACGTTAGAACGCCAGACATAACACCAAGAACGGGGAACCGCGACAACAGTGGAATCAAATCCCACGCTGCTTTCACTCGTATCACATTACTTAATATATAT